TATTAGTCACAGGTGGCTCATGGTTGCCTCACTGGACAAGAGAGGTCTAGAAGTTTCCCCTTCCCTTTTTTTTTTCCTTTGCCATTATTTGTTGAAGAAACTGGGTTATTTGTCATATGTAATTACCCACATTCTGGATTTTGTTGATTGCATCTCTGTGGTGTTCTTCTATCCCAGGTATTTCCTGTAAATTATTAGTTAGATCTAGAAGACTTATCACATGAATAGATTTGAGTTCTTTTTTAATTTTTGGCAAGAATATTTCATAATTGGATTCCATGTCCTCCACCCCTTAATTTTTAAAACTGAGGCTCAAAGAGGTGAAGTTAATTTGCCCATAGCTAGAAACAGAGCTGGAATTTGCACCCAGGCAGTCTGGCTGCAGAGTTCATGCTTTTAATCACTACACTATCATGAAACAAAAATCTCTTCTGGCTCAGTGTTTTACATCTCTTGATGTGGTTTTTACTAAAGAAGATAAGTGGGTGAGACGATGCTAACTAAGTAAGCAGACTTTGTAGGTCGTATGTTAAAGTACCTAGAATCATGTGTTACACATTTATTACTTATAATGACAACTGTGTCTTGAATTTCTCCAGCATAAAATACAGTCACGTAAGCTCGGTTTCCATCCTGTCCTCCTTACTGTGTTCTGTCTTAATCATGCCTTTTTTATTCTTCCCAAACCCCTTCTTTATGCTCTCCATTATGTCTTTGAGTGTTTTTTCTATTTTGCTTCTAGGACTGGTTCGTTGTAAATCCAACAACAACCAAAAGCTTTGAAAAGCTGATGAAGATAAAGCAGCGGCAGCAAGAGGAAGAAAAGCGGAGGCAGCAGCACAGGAGCAGAAGGTCTCTAAGACGGCGGCAGCAGCCTGGCGCTGAGCACTCTGAGGCAGAGCTGAATCTTAGAGTAGGGAAGGATCAGAGGCGGAGTAACGAGCAGCTGGTAGTGTCGACCTCCTGTAAGGAGCCAGAGCAGGAGCCAGTGCCAGCACATTTCCAGAAAGTAAAGCCCCCAAAGATGAGTCATAAACGAGGGAGGAAGTAGGCAGGCAGTGTGAGAGTGCTCCTGGGAGAGTGGATGTGATGGTATGCTGTTGTCACGGGGACCTGTGCTGGGAGGACTGAGTCATGGGGGGCTGAGCAGAGAGAAATGTACTTTTTCAGCTGTTTGTGACTTTCTCAGCTTCTTCCTCCTGTGTAAATTTCCCTGTTTTCCCTACTTATTCACCTTCCCCCACTTCCCCCTTTGGTAGGTTTTCCTGCTATTCCTTATTGGTGTCCTCTTGTTTTTTCTGACTCTTATCTTCCCCAAAGAGCTCCCTCTTAAGGCCAACTATAGGCCTCTCTTGCCCTCTATAAAACTAAGAAACCTGTTTGGTGTCCTTTCCTTCCTGGGGTGTAAAATGTTCTTGGAAGCTCCATTGATTTAGTAGCCACTCCATCATCTAGCTTATAAAACAATTCTAAACTAATTTTTAAAACCATAACTGATTTATCATTTTGTGTTTGTGATATAATAAGCCTAGAAGCTAGAACTGTTGTCATTCATGTAATAGGATTACCTGTCTCCTTGGGAAACAGTTTTTATGGAGGCTGTTTGTTACAGTTTTAACAAACAATCCAATATGGTTTTAGAACTGAAAGTAAGAAAATGGATTTAGGATGAAAAAGCTAGAACCTCCCTACTCTGGTTATACTGGGAAATGCTTTGTTTATACTAAGTAGCAGTGACTAACTAGACCCACAGGCATGAAAAGCAGGCTTAGGAGTAAACAATAAAATGACTGGAAAGAATAAAGTAGAAGAAGCAATAAATACTGTCTTGACTTCCTTGGGGCTTGAGATCTCATCTGTTGCTATGATTAGCGCCATCTTGAAGCTTGCTACTGCTCCCTCAATCTTAAGGACTGAGAACTATCACATTGCCCTTGATGTTTTGGCACAGTGCCCCTGGAAATACACTAATAGTGGCAAGGTGCACATTCCTTCTCCCCCAGACTTTACCTCACTTGCTAGTCTAAACCCCCAAGAGTCCTCATCTATCCCTTTAGCCATCCTCTTGTCTGAAATTTCTGAGAATATTGCCCTTCCATGAAGTTCTGTCCTCTTTATGTCCTGAGACTTTGATACCAGATGTAGATACTTATCTGGAGCTGAAAAGAAAAATTCTTTTTCTGTACCTCATGGCCACCTGGTCTTGTCTAATGGACTGTTTCTCTTGGACGCTGCCTTTCTCTGGAACATCGGTTATAGCAACTTTCTTGTCGTGTTTCTGGATTCTCTTCCCCTTTTTCCATAAATATCGATCTTATATATTCTTGCCTATTTTTGTGGCATGTGCCGCATAAAAAATAACGGACCCTTAACCCTGATAAGGACATGTACTACCTTTTCAAATTCTGAAAGGCTATTACCATTCTTTAACTCTGCCCTTCTCTGTGCTCCTCCATATAGCTTTAAAATGTGGGCTTTTGTGAAGACCACTTTCAAACTAGGGAGCATTGAAACCTGATTTTGAAACAAGTGAAGTACCTGGTATGTTCACTCTACATTTTCATTGGCAATTTTGTCCTTAAAGCCTTTTCAGAAGATAAGGTTGCCAGGGAGGAGAAATGAAGAAGCTATGTTAATTTCTGGTGAGTAGGACTTGGGGAATGTTTTGCAATGACAAAAGAAATAAATGACTCTTGGTTAGAATGCTGTTTGCAGTTGTTCATTGACTCTGGCCTGCCACTTGACTCCTTGCTGACACAGTAAATGGGGGTAAGATGGTTGGGGATGGGTATGAGTTTGAAATAAGTTTTAAATGCAGTTGTCTCAGTAATGCTTTAGCTCCTGGACTGTGTGTGCTGGTGAAAATAATTTGTTTGAGATTCAAATAAATTAGTATAGGAAAGTTGCCCTATCTCATTCAGGGCCCTCCTTTTCTTTTTCCTTCCTGAGGCCAGGGATCAGCATAGGAAATGGGATAATCCTAATCACTCTGTTGAGTTTTTAAGTTTCTTTAAAAAACAAAACTAAGTAGAGTACCATATACTAAGTTTGACAATGTCAAGTGTAGTTAGGTTGTGGAGCAGTAAGAATTTTCATACATGGTTTGGAGTGTAATTGGTACAGTCACTTTGAAAACGATTTGGCAATACCTAGTAAAGTTGAATAGATTCCCTAAGACTCAGCAGTTTCACTCCTAGGTACGTAAAGAGACACTCTTCTTGCCTAGGTGTACCAGAAGACATAGACAAGAATGATTATTGCAGAACAGTTTATAATAGATGCTGGAAACACCCTGTAGTAGAGACCACTAGCTATCCACCAAAATGTGCTCTCACCTTGCAAAGTAACAGAATTGTAGGACAAATACTAGACTCTTATTTCCCAGCACTCTCCCCTTCCTGGATGGTGAGGTGTAACCAGCTAACTTCTCTCCAGTGGAATGCCAGTTAAATTAATTGATGTGTGTCACGTCTTGGCTGGAACTTTTAAAAGAGCAAGTGTGCCACCATGCTTTCCCCCTCCTCCCACTAGATGTAGATGATGATGAGGCCCTAAGGGATGGCAGAGCACGAAGTGGACTCTGAATCACCCTGTCAAGGAGCCACTTGCCAACCAGGAGCATCCGTCTTAGACTATTATGTGACTATTACGTGAGCAAGAAGGAAATCTGTTATTTGAGACATCGTATGTTCTTGGGTCTGTTACAGTTTAGCCTACTCTAATACACAACCTAATTGTCTATCAGGAGAATGGCTAAGTTGTGGTATAGTCACACGGTGGAATACTATACAGCTATAAAATTAACTAGGGTTTCTTGTATCATCAGGTATAAATATCAAAAACAATGTCTGGAAAAAGCAAGTTGCCAAACACATCAAGGGTATCATTTATATAAGGTTTAAAAACATGCAAAAACAATACTCTGTTTATAGATATATGTATATAAAGTAAAAGCCTGAAAACATGCACAAGAATGATAAACACCAAATTTAGTATAATGCTTCTGGGATTCTGGAGGGATTTCAACTGAATTTGTAATTATTTCTTAAGGCAGATAACGAGTTATGGTTTTCCATATTTTTTGTATGCCGGAAATATTTCATTTTAAAAAGCAGTTCGCATACACATTAAAGAAAAATATATTCTGCTCATCTTCTTAAAAGGGAACACTATAAATTTTACTTCTGCTTCATCTGAATCTTTGATTTCCCTCACCCTGTAGTCTGTTTCCCGTCTTCCCCACTTAAGCACCACTGTTCAGATGCTGGGGCCAAGAACATAGTTTTCCTTGATCTTTTTCTCGTTTCTCAAAATGAATCCACTAGCAAGTCTTGTCTACTACCAAATGTAAATCCTTAATCTGTTCTTCTATTTCTACCATCCTAATCCAAACCATTACCCCTCTTTGTCTAGACTACAGCAATAGCTAAACCTAATGGTTTCCCATTGCTTGTAGAATAGAATTCAGACCCTTTACAGTGGCCTATCAGGCCTTCTTGCTAACCTTACTAGCTTCATCTCCCTCTACTCATTCCCCAGCTACACTTTAGCCACACTGACCTTTGTTCTTTGAACATATCAAGCTTATTCCTACCACCTTAGAGCCTTTGCACTCACTGTTGTGCCTTGAACAGTTTCTTCTGGTTTTCTGCACTGTGCGCTTCAGCTTATACAGGTCTTAGCCTACATTTCACCTCAGAGGTCTTTGCCATCTGAAGTCACTTTCTGTAACATTAACCTGTTTTCTTCATAGCAAAGCAGACAAAAAATACAGATTCTGCGATGAGTTGGCCCCCCTACTACTCACTTGGGGGGTATGGATTTCAGATATGATTCACCCTTTAAAATATTTAAGTCTTTAGAGTGTTCACTCTGAAAGGGACAACCATAAGGAATCCACCAGGTCACTTAACTGGGATGATACCAAAAGAAAACCCACTGCTGTTGAATCGATTCCGACTCATGGTGACCCTATAGGACAGAGTAGAACTGCCCCATGGGGTTTCCAAGGCTGTAATCTGTATGGAACATCATTCTCCTGTGGAGCAGCTGGTGGGTTTAAACTGCCAACCTTTTGGTTAGCAGCCAAGTGCTTACCCACTGTGCCACCAGGGCTCCTTCAGCTGGGATGATAGAAGTAAACTGAGATCAGATGGAAGTTACCCACTCTTGAAAGAAAAAACAGGAACAGCAATTGCAGTAGGGGAATGAACAGCAGAAGAATAAAAGTCTAAGATCCCTCCTTTCTGACTCCCGGTCGGCCTTAGGTGTGGTATATATTTGCCTAGGATTTTTGCATTCACAGAGAACAGGGCCTCAAAGTTGCCTTGGATACCATGCTTTTCAAATTTAGTCTTCCTGTACTTCTAGCTCATGAATAGCTATATGGTACCTGTATAATATCTGAAGTCCTAGTTTCTGTGTTAAACCAAAACCAAACCCAACCCATTGCTTCTGAGTCGATTCCAACTCATAGTGACCCTACAGGACAGAGTAGAACTGCCCCTTAGGGTTTCCAAGGAGCAGCTGGTGGATTCAAACTGCGAACTTTTTGGTTAGCAGCTGAGCTCTTAACCACTGTGCTACCAGGGCTCCTCTGTATTAAAACTGCAGTTTTATTATTTGCACACTAGTATGAGTAAGACATGCAGAAATGGTAATAAGAGATTTAAGTGTGATAAAGTAGAAAATACATTATATTGGAACACTTAAAAAAAAATGGATAAATTATAATCCTAAATAGATCTTTATTGTTTAATAACAAAAAAATCCTACATATTTAACAAGAAAAACTATTAAAGCTAGAAGTTAGAGGCACTTTGAGGGAGGATCCTTTTTTTGAAAAAATTCAATTTTAAATGGATTCATTTTACACATGAATAAAACAAAATTCAGGAAAATTATTTTGAAATGTTTCATCATTAACAATTTCTGAAAAACGTTAAGTTGTTTTATATTTTCCCATAGAAGAGCAATGTTAAAATAAGGGGTTATATTCCTGAACTAGGATTTAGCATTCAAGTAAATCACTGGTTTAAACATAAATATGTCATAAATGTAAAAAATACAACTGTTAAAATCTATACTAATTTAGTAAAATTATTCCCAGTTCTATAAAATGGACAAATATATGGCACACACTGATTATAAAAGGCATTTCATGTACTATGAAGTGTACATGTAGTAAGAAAATATAATAAATGACCTAAAACCAAAGTAGTTACTATAATGAAGTAATTTTACTTGTCACAGACTTTAGAATGCTGCTAGGGAAATGAGATTATCAACGGATGGCACAAGACTTAAAAACTGTCCAAACATTTTAACTTTCTTTTGACATATTTTCTTTAACAAGAGTCATTCATGCTCTGTTTCCTCACAGAAACATTTTCGAAAGCAACAGTTGACCTAACATATGTCCCCTTCATCCTTTCTTAGCTTCTCAACTTATTGAAAGCTAAAACCGAGGGGGCTTAGCATTAGACCAAAGCTCATTCTACCTAGCACTTACTGGACTTGCTGTTATCAGAGTACTTTTCACTTGATGATAAAATCGTACAAGGATCTACCTGCTCACTAGCATAAACTAAAAAAGAGCTTAAAAACACTTTCTGCCTTTGCCTTTGTGTGCTGAGTTGGTCAAAAGGAATGAGGATAAACCGATACTGGGTTATTTACAGAGCTGAAAGCACTATACAAAATCTGAAACGCTATCCTTAAAGGTGCTTTCTCTATAAACAAATCTAATTAAGGTAGATGAAATAAATCACAACTTTTCCTCTCAAGTTGATTTTGAGTGAGTTTGAAGTACAGGGTATTTGGCAAGTGGCTGGGTATTAGGTTAGTGTCGTATGTTAACTGTAGAGGTTTGTGGAACATCCTGTTTATCAGCAGGAGCTAATTAGAGAAAGAACTGGTTAAAGGAAGCCAGTCACAAATATGAAGCAGTACTGCTGAGAAAAAAGCACCCAACCCTTTACACCTACACATCATGATAGATATCTTACCATAGTAATCTGAGATCCAAAAAGCTTCCTAACTGGGTTTATGTAGAACCTAAGAGTACCTGCTCTAATGCTTATTTAATCAGTGTTACTTTAGGCATTATTTGGGATTAATCCTTGATTTGGTGCCTAGGGGAGGGGTCAGTGTGGTCTTTGGAGCATCCTGTCCTTTTAGGCACCAATTATACCTTCCTTGCATTCGTTGCCTTCCCCGGATTAAGCCCTCCAGATACCACTGTTCTTGCTGCAGTTGCTGTTTTCTGTCTTTTAACTGGCTTTGACAAGCCACCAACTCCTGGGATTGCTGAATTAGCTGCTGTAGATCTTTCTGTGACTGGTGGTTCTCTCTGTTGATGCCACAGTAGAACTCAAGAGTATACTGCTTTGCTGCCAACTCCAAGGCCTGGTTCTTCCTCTTAAGCTCCCTTCTTTTTCTTTTTTCCAACTGGCTTACGTCTGGCTCACTCAGTTGTTTCTCCAGTAATGCTTTTTCCTGGAGGATCTGGACCTGTACTTCCTGTGTCTTTGTGGCTGTCTCATCTTGGACTTTCCTTTTCTCCTTCTGCAGTGCCTCCACTTCTGTCTCCTGTTTTTCCTTTAATATTAAAATGTCCTTCATTGCCTTCAACTGGTGCTCCAGAAGGCTTTGGGTCTTTTCCTTCTGCAGGAGCTCTGCTTTAAGCACTGAAGTTTGTTTTGCATATCTTGAGGCTGATTCCTGTCTCTGCAGTTCAATCTCCCCACTTTTTTGTACATAGTTGTTCCACATCTTAACAGGCTGCTTTCTGTACTCCTCAATTTTGTTAGTCAGGTATTCCAGAACGAATTTGTGTTCAGCCTGGACAAGTAGCTTTTCAGTGCATAGCTGCCTGCTGTCCTTCTGTAGCTGTTCCTGCTGGATTTGAGCTTGTTTTATTTGATTGTTCAGCTCCATCACTTCCACCATTGCCTTTTCTTTAAACTTCATTTCAGCCTTTGTTAGCCTCTCTGGCTTGAAAAAAGTATTTATTAGACTAAGATATGGTGGAAGAGGCGTTCCAGGGCCCTCATCAAACCTGAAGCAAAAACAAATGATACATTCCCCTATTGGTTCTTAATGAAAACTTAGGAAATAATAATAATTAAAAAAAATGCACATTTGTATTTTGATTCATTCAAGAAAATATTTTTGAGCACCTGATATGTTCCAAGGAGTCCCTGGGTTGTGCAAATGCAAAGTGCTGGACTACTAACTGAAAGGGTGGTTCATACTCACCCAGAGGCACCTGTGAAGTAAGGCCTGGTGGATCTGCTTCTAAAAGGTCACAGCCTTGAAAACCCTATGCAGTTCTACTTTTGACACACATGGGGTTGCCAGGAGTCCGAATCGACTCCATGGCAACTAACAACAACATGTTCCAAGGGAATACAGTTACGGGTAAAGATGAGGGACTATATAGTTTACAATGCATTCACTACAACCCTGTGAGGCATTATCTCAATTTTAAAGAAGAGAAAACTGGTTCACAAAATTAAAGTGATTTGTTAAGGTTTGGGGCCCTGGTGGCGCAGTGGTTAAGTGTCTGGCTGTTAACCAGAAGGTCGGCAGTTCAAATCCACCAGGCGCTCCTTTGAAACCCTAGGGGGCAGCTCTACCCTGCCCTTGTAGGGTGGTTATGAGTTAGAATAGACTCGACGGCCAATGGGTTGGGCTTTTGTCAAGGTTTACACCGCTAACAAGTGGCAGAGCTGGGTATAAAACCTAGATCCCTATGGCTTACAGCCGCTACCAAGGGCCTGAGGCACAGATTGGGTGGCCGAGAACAAGAGCTACCTCGGCTTTTTCATCACGTTTCCCTAGTTTCCGAGGGCGCTTCCGTGAGAGGGGACCACTGCTTCTCAACTCACGTGCGCCAGGGATCGAAGCGTTCATTCTCAAGGTGATAGTGATTGTGTAGTTCACTAAGGGTGATGGTCGAGGGGCGAGCGCTAGTGTCCAAGGTCCGCGACATGCGGGTACGCTGTCCAAGCGCGTTAACTTCTCGCAGTTTCTCCGTTTTGTGTTCTACGAGTCTCGGCGCTGCCCAGCAACCCCGGGGGGGGCGCTCTCCCTCTCTCCAAACCCGTCTGGCCCAGACTTGTTTACCCTCCTCGGCTGCAGGGTAAGCCCCAGCAGCCAGTTCTCCCGCGGCTCTGCTCCTCGCTTCTTGGGGGCCGAAACTGAGACCCACTCTCCTCATTCTCGTTCTGTGGGAGACCTGCCCTCGGGATCCTGTCTCGTTTCGTTCTCTGGGGTCGAGGGCTTTCCTCTTCCCAGGCCCTACCCTAAGACGGTGAACGCCCCTTTTCCTCGCTTTCAGTCCTCCTCTCGGTTGCCCAACGTAACCACTTCGCCATTGTCACTAGTTGGCCCACACGCTAGCTCGAAACGCAAAGAAGCCCTTCAGACGCTTCGCCCCGCCCCTCGATCCTTCCCTTTCGAGTCCGTTCGGCTCTATGCTCATTCCCAGCCCAGAGCGTCGCGGAAGTCTCTCTAGCCACGCAGCGTCTCTATCGTAGGGTGGGCCGATCTAGGAGAAAGATGGCGGCCTCCGTAGCTACGTTTGAGCCACAGGCTTCGGCGGGTCCTCGGCCCCCAGTGTGTCTGTTGGTATTGGGAATGGCGGGATCTGGAAAAACCACATTTGTACAGGTGACTTACATGGCGCAGGTGTAGTATGAAGCACGCGAGAGGTTGTGGTGAACGGAAGGCCTAATAGATATGGAGGGAGATCTCTCGGGAGTTGGAAGGTACCCGATTTCGGGAACTTCACATCAGCGCCGGTGTCTTCCTTGGCGAAGTCTTCTTAGACTCTAGCCTGAGTTAATTAAGGCTCTCTTTTGCGTACCCTCAGTGCTCAGTGCATAGTTAATATAACTTACCACGTTGTACTGGAATTGTCGATAAAATTCCGAACTTTTGGAAGGCAGGGACTTATCGGAAACTCCAGCAATTAATACAGTGGTAGGACACAGGCTCTCGGTGATGGTTTGTTAAAGAATTATTTATTGAGCGCCTACCATGGTCTAGGCACTGACGATACAGCGAAAATAAGGTTAACAAGGTTCCTGCTTTCATGGAGCTAATATTTTAGTGGGGGAGACAGGAACTCCTCCCCCCACCCCAAGCACGTAAGTTGGAGAGTAGTAGAGGACGCTCTGTTAGATGGGTGATAACGGTAGCGTTTGAACAGAGAGCTGAATGTTGGAGGTGAACATAGGGAATGGATATTTCAATTAGAGGGAAGTGGAGGTGCAAAAGCCTTCAGTCAAGGCAATAAACGAATGGAAGTTCTCTCTTGTCCCCTTATCGACCTTTTCCTCTTCCTCCACCTGCCTCGTCACGTCTTTGCAGAGGCTCACCGGACACCTGCATAGCCAAGGCTCTCCACCATATGTGATCAGCCTCGACCCAGCTGTGCATGAAGTTCCTTTTCCTGCCAATATTGGTGAGTGAACCATACCAGAGCTTGTGTGAAGTGCCTCAAAGGGAATGGAGAGCCTCAGTCTTCCAGTCTTCAGTGCCTTCATTTTTCATCTTTTCTCAATATCTACTTTTATTTCTCTTGAATTTGTGAGAGTCTCTCTCCAGGCTTCTTTATTCACATTTTCTTTTTGTTTACTCCTTCCCTTTCCTTAATTTCTTTGTCTCCTTCCCACTCACCTTATCTCTCCTCTCTTTCTGATCCTAGTGTGCGAGGATATTCTGATTTGGGTAAAGAAGTCACAGAAAGTCAGTCCTCTCACTTCTATACCCCAAACCCTTCAGCTGACTCTAATAAATAAACCTTTTCCTTTTAGTTTCTTTTCTCAAAATTTAGAGTGTAAGAGTTCTTATGCTGTAGTTGACTCACTGATTTCTAGGGGTCTTGCACCCACTCCCAAAGGTACGTGGGAAAATATGTGTATAAATGCTTATGTGTATTGTTCTGGAGAGAGGGTCCCAATTTTCATCAAATTCTAAGAGAAGTCTATCATTACAAAAAAGATTAAGAATGGACGTGATTCAGTGTCACGATTCTTGATAAGATCTAGGCTTCCTGATTTCCAGGCCATCACGGTGTGCTGATCGATCTCTCCTTGTCTCTTCTTAATTCGATTAAACTTCTTGTACAGGCATACCTCAGAGACATTACAGGTTTGGTTCCAGACCACCCCAGTAAAGTGAATCGCATGAATTTATTGGTTTCCCAGTGCAGATAAAAGTTATGTTTACACTATACTGTAGTCTGTTAATTGTGCAATAGCATTATGTCTTAAAAAAAAAAGTACATACCTTAATTTAAAAATACTTTATTGCTAAAAAAATGCTATCTGAGCAAGTCATAATCTTTTTTTTTTTAATTGTACTTTAGATGAAGGTTTACAGAACAAATAGTTTCTCATTAAACAGTCAGTACACTTATTGTTTTATGACATTGGTTAACAACGCCACGACATGTCAACACTCTCCCTTCTTGACCTTGGAGGGCCTTTTTTTTTTCTTTTTTTTAGGTGAAGGCTTACAGAACAAATAGTTTCTCATGAAACAGTAATACACATATTGTTTTATGACATTGGTTAACAA